CCTCAGTACTGGAAAGAAAATCTGCAATATTTTTGTTTGCTTGGCAAACTTGAAGTACCTGTATAAGGCATTATACTGAGTGATTTATATATCCCTGTTAGTGAATGAGTAACTTTAAAGTGTTAATTTTTTTCCTGGAGGTATAAGGTATGAGACAGGAAATAAATTTTATAGTGTACCATTAATTTTAAATGCAATGGCATGTTTTAGTGCTAGGAATTTCTTTCATACTTTCACTATTTCTGAACAAAAAACTATAGCCCAGAAATCGTTAGAGGTATATGTGAGATTTATTATTTTTTGTCTCTCCTTATTCCCTTTCTCTCTTCCATTTTTTCTTCCTTCCTCTCTTCTTTCTTTTTGATTCACTTCCATTTTGTGGAAATACCCCATAGTTTTATCTCAGTAGACTGTGACTAAACCAAAGAAATCTATTATCATCTCTGAATATGGGACTATTTTTCCATTACTTTATTCAGAACCCCACCTATTGCAGCCAAGCCTGGTTGCACACACCTATTATATCCCTGTAATCCCAGTAACATGGCAGCCTAAGAAAGAGGATTACAAATTCTAGCCCAACTTCAAACAAGTTAATGGCTTAACAAGCTCGTATCTCAAAGTAAAAATCAAACAATGAAATAAAACAAAACAAAACAAGTCATGGGATGTAGCTCAATGCAAAGGCCCTGGGCTCAAACTCTGGTATCACTATAAAAGGAAAAATAAATTTCAATTTAAGAATGCTACTCAGTTCCCATTATTATATGTTATTCAAATCCCAGTTAATAGTTGCCTATAATGTTACATGTAGTCTTCTAAGTTCTAGAATTAAATGTGGTCAACCTACCATTTTTATTGTCAAAGAACTGATTTTATTTTGGGAAACAGATATAGGACTCCAATTCTGCATCCTGAAGAACTTTCAGCCAAGTTACCTTTGATTTCATAAAGGGGCAATGAGGAGCAACTGCTACCTGGTGTGGAACTTTCCAGAAGTTCCTTAAAATTGATGCTCTACATTTCCATCATTGCATTTACCTTGTTATCAGCACCACCTGAGACTGATTTTGTAGGCATTCTCATCTCTCATAATTTTTCCACAACCAAAACCTTTTTATATTTTAGGAGGAATTGTTTCTTGTCCGGTGTTCATACTTTAGGGTGTAAATAAAAATAAGTATTAACAGCTAGAATGAAGTCTTTATTATAAATTCCTCTTTATCTTAGGATCTTGGAGTATTCTTTAGAACCCTATGGATTCAGATGAATACAGAGAATCATTTTAAAGGATTACAAAAGAAGGATTTATGAGTCAAAATTAGAAGTATTAATTAACATTTCTAACCTTAAATCACTGGACAGTACATAGTTATAAGGTGTACTATACTAAATAATTGTAAAGAAGGCTGGAAATGTTGCATTTCCATACTAGTTGATACACTTTGTCAACTTGAGAAGTTTAGTTTAAATAATTGATTCTGCAGGGGTCAAGGTCTTCACTTTGTAAATATCCTCATCCTGTGCAAGAGCAGGGGAAGGGAGATGGAGTGAGTGCTACACCTTCCCTGGGTGGAGCATAGTTTGCATACATTGTAGGAGAGGAAAGAGGCTTTCTGTCTGCCTTGTGCTCTTGCTGCTTTTGCTGTCTTCTGCAGTCTTAGCTTCCTTGAAACCAGGTAATTATGCACTGAAACCTCTACAAACTGTGAGCTAAGTAAACTTTTCCTCC